AGGACCAACCTGTCAGTCACTCTCAAAACAGCTTGCTTGAATTGGAATTGCATCGGTAATTGCCGAGAGAAGAAGCTGATATACCTCTAAAATCTTTTCTCCAAGCCTTTAATTATCCACTTTCTCCTCACTATGTATTTTAGGGATAACTATGTCAAAGAAATTACTAGGCTCTCTGAACATGCATCATTTCACACATAATGTATTCATAAGTGACATGTCAGACCTTTCTAAACGATTTTGAAAAACGAGCATATTGCTATGTGGGGAGGAGTAGGACACTTCAGTAATGAGCAAGAGCTTGTTGATTCACCGTCGGTAACACTCGATTCTAAATCTCTCCTGAGCAAACCCTCTAGCATAGCACTGACATGGATGAGTTGCACATACAATGAAATGGTGGTGTTTGCAGTGCTAATAAACTCAAGATTAGGAAACCACAGTATGCTTTTTGTGACACATTCTGAAAACTACGCCAGAAAATAGACTGGCAGTAGTGATAGGAACCTACCATGAACTCTTCCATCTGCATTAATTTAAAGTATGTTTGCTTTTTAAAAAAATATAATTAGCTTGTAAAGTGGAAGAATCAGAAAGCTCATCCTCTGAATAAAGTTTTCCATAGACATTCAATTCTGCAATTTTGTTTGCATTTTAAAGTTAGTCAACATAAGTTTCAACTGTGCCTTTTCTCAGTATGTAGATGGGGCTTAAACTAAACTGACACATGCAGAGAATCAGTGGACTATTTTGGGGTCTTCCTATCCCCAGGAAAGCTTTTCTGAGCAGTCACAGTAAGCCTTCCACTTTTGAGGTTAGAAGCGGTCATGAATATGGGAAAACCATGAATTAAAAGCTGCTATTTTGTTTTTACCCAAGAGAACATCTCTTTAGGTTCTTTGTGGTCAACTTCCAGAGAAATCTTACTAGAGATTCTTAGTGAGACTATATTAATCAAATCCATGAATAATCAAATCAACAAAAATCAAACCCACAAATGTGGAATATGACTATGGAATATGACTATAGTTTGGTGTGGTGCCTGGAATATGACATGTAGAATACTAACAGATGAAGATGTCTTTTTGCTCTGCTCATCCGCATCTTCCAAGTAAGCTTCTCATCAAATCTTCCTTGGAAAACACTACTCTTGGACCATCCTTTCTTCCATCTCCAAATTGCTTACAGTCCTGACATGTAGCCTGTATGTACCTAAGTTAAAAGCCACCAGACTGACCTGTAGACCGATGACTCTGTATCTAATTAGCAAAAGGACAGTGCTAGCAATAGCCAAGGTTTCTGACACAATTCGAACTATGATAAGGCAGAGAAGTGTCAATACGCCCATTAAGCATGCATACACGCAAACATGCATTTTCCACTCTATTGCTATCCTATACAATTGTCTACTCAATAGTACAACTCATTTGTTTCCATGAGACATATTTGCAGGTAGGTAGGTATAAAATTTCACACTCATTTTGCCATGTTTTGGTATACATTTTTATATTTCTCTCCTTGAGTCAGAGTTACAGATTCTAACATACCTGGCCTAAAAGTATTTGTCCTTTTTGCCTTGTCCTTTGCTCTGACTCTTTCCAGTCCAGATTCCTTGGCCAATTCTCTAGCGACTACCTTATAAAGCCTGGCCAAAGCAGATTAGTGTGTGATGCATTTTAAGGCTAAATATAGAAGCCAGATCCTATTCTGGTACTAATAACTTCTGGAGTGACACTCCTGTTTTCCACTGAAACACAGTTTGTTAATTTTTCTGCAAGGGGTAAGTTTAGGTTTCTCCTCTTGTTTTTTGTTTTGTTTTGTTTTTTGCTTAGGTCTTTCTTTTTCTTCTTACTTTCAACTGCCCCTCCCCTTTTTAAGAATGTTTTAATCTGTCCTTTACTTGGCTAATCACAAAAGAAAATATACGTGAATGATGAACAGAAGTCTGGACATCTGTTGAAAAGACTCGGATCCCATGGAAAGACTAGCAGGCTTTCTTGATCTAATTGTCTCAATTTCTTTAAAAGGACAAGAGGGTTTTAAACATAAATGAATATTTCTGCTGAGTCAGGCACCTAGAGTTCAGACTCAGTAATCTGCATGTATATCCATAAAGGAGATATCATAAGTATCATGTTAAACCATTATTTCAATTACCTTGTTTTATAACTGTTTGGGCCCTTATCTTTAACTGCCCAAAGAACAGGCCATCCCAAATGAAAGATGAGATGAGATCAGCTGCTCCCTGCATCCTTAGAAAAACAAGCAAACAATAACCTTACTTACATGTATAGGTAAGGCTGTAAGAAGCGTAGTTTTGTGTTGGTTTTTGGAAGGTAAGCATTTAAATATCTGTCAAACCATTCTTGTTTAAATGAGATCCATGGCTGGGTTTGAATGATCTTAAAGTAAAACTTGGGGATCATATTTTTCTGGGAACCCTACTATTTTTATTTATCATATCAGAAGCAAACCAATGTAATTGAGAAAACACAAAGTTTAAAAACTTGGCATTCTATTAAATGTCTTTTGACCAGTAGCTAGACACTTGGAGTGCCTCTGGTGCTGCCTAAGAAGGTCCTCTATTGTGCATATGGCAGGGCTCAGGATGCATTGTAGTCGGTGGTCTGTGATTTGCTCTTCTCTGCAATCGTGTCGTGGACTCCACTTTGTAGCCCCATTTCTTAAGGTTGGCTCTGCATCTTGTGCTGCCAGAATACAGTCTGTTCAGCACCTTCCAAGTTGCTCAGTCTTCTATGTGCCCAGGGGGGAGTGTCTCATTTGGTATCAGCTGTGGATTGAGGTGCTGGGTTTTAGCCTGTCATTTTTGGACTCTTGCTTGCTGCGGTGTTCCTGTGAGTATCTGTGTAGATCTTAGGAAGGTCTTTCTTGATTTAAGGCATTGGTGTGCTGGCTGATATCTGAACAGAGGATGGACTGGAGATTTCACTGTTTTGGTCCTTTCATTATTGGCTGCTACTTCCTGGGGGAATGTCAGGTGGTGCACTATTAGTTAGACAGTTCTCCAGTTGTGTAGGATACAGACAGCTTGTGATAATGCAGCATGTCTCATTAAGAGCCACATCCACTGTCTTTGCATGGTGAGATGTGTTCCATACTGGGTATGTGTACTCAATGGCAGAGCAGCAAAGTGCAAGGGCAGATGTCTTCACCGTATCTGGTTGTGATCCCCGGGTTTTACTAGTCAGCTGGGAACCCTACTGAAGAGAAGGGGAGCCCAAAGAGTGTAGGGGTTCATTTACACTGTAAAATTAATGCAGTTCGACACCATTTGACTGCCATGACTCAATGCTATGGAATCATGAAAAGTGTGTATTTTGGTTACAATCATGGAATAACAAGAGACTAATATCCTGCACACATTTACATGAAGGTGTACTCATGCCCTTTTTTACAGATGAAGAATCACTTTTTTCTGAAGGACTGTCAGAGGACATTGTTTCCTCTTTTAAAAGAGACCCTGTTTTTGATGAGTCAAATATGGTGTAAAGATTTGTGTGTATGTGCATGTCAGGAACAACTTGAGAAGTTTCTTCTGGTGTGAGAGAATTGTCCGTCTGCAAGGACATTGCCCAGGGGACGCCTTGATGTTTGATGCTTTACCATCCTTGTGGGAGGCTTCTTTCATGTCCTCGCATGGGGAGCTGGAGCTGACAGAGGAAGCTCAAACCAATCTCCCGAGATTCGAACCACTGACCTGTTGGTCAGAAGTCCTACTGGCACAGGGATTTAACCCATTGCACCACCAGGGGCTCAAATGTAAATATAGAGAACTATAATGGGGGCAATAGAGGATCTTGGAAGCCACACAGCCATAGTTACTTTTTGAACTTCAGACTTGACCAGCACACACATCTCACCTGATGACAGTTTCCCTTCTTCGGTTGAGATGTTCTGGAATTGGGTTTACATTATAAAAAAGTCATTTTTAATTTTGCATCTGTATGTGAAAATACACATTCCTGCTCCAGTGGGAAGGCAATGGAACACCATGTAGTCATGCCAGCCACATGACCTTGGAGGTGTCTCCGGACAATGGGGTTTCTTCGCCTTAGAAATGGTAATAAGTACCCCCCCCCCCCGAGTTGGACACAACTAGACTTAATGTCAGGGAAAAACCTTAACCTTTACCTATGTGAAAATTAGCATTTGCAGTTTTATACAAATCCATGTTGGCTTAGTCCATGATGTCTGTGTATGCATAACACACATTTTCCAGGACCTCCACAAATATGGAAATATTGCAAAGAGAAGATGGAGGAGGCAGATTGTTGGGAAAGGGGTGGGAGATTGAAATTTGTGTAGCTTGTATCATGTTCAAACATGATTTATGCCCTCTTTTCAGATAATTATCCTACAGGTAAAAAAAATGCAATAAAATAATAATTATCCTACATTATCCTAGCTTGAAAAGAAGAAAGCTGGAGCTGGTGGCCTGAGATTTGTCTAGGGCCACCTGTTCATTGGAAATGTGATAAAACTGGTGGATGTTTCATAATAGCACTGGAAAATTAAGAAAGGAGTTTTCTGGAAGAAGTACAAGGAAGCAGCAAATAGGAGATAAAGCTATATCAAAACTGAAGGATCTTTGGATGCTGAGGGTATGGGAGATGAAAGGTTTTGAGAAAATAAAAGAAAAATTGATTGTGAAAATAGCTGGCCAGAAGTGATTTGGAATTAAGGATGTAGAATAGCTTGGAAGATTAGGCTATATGGATTACAATTAACGGGGCAACATTGTAAGCCGCCTTGAGTCACCTTCAGGCTAAGAAAGGTGGGATAGAAATACTGCAAATAAATAAATAAATTGTGACATACCAAATACGCTAGTAAGTTGGTACAGCTTTTGTAAGTCTTCTTCCTGAACCCATCCAGAAATGTAACTGCTCCTAATTAAACATCTTTGGTTTTTTATTTTTGTTTTTCATTATTTCTTTGATTTAAAGTTATTTATTAAATCATTTAAACTTGTATTCCAGAAATTTTATGAATAAGCATCAGAAGCCGGTGCTAACAGGCCAACGGTTCAAAACTAGGAAGAGGGGTAAGTTTGCTCATTTAATTTTGTAAATATTGCTGTAAGTTTATTAAAGTTTCCCATGTGTGTATGCTTAATTTATGTCCTATCTTTTTCCCAGCTGCCCACATATTAAAACAAAGTGTAGCTGAAATCATAATTTTCCAAAAGCTAAACAAATAAATAATGAAAAACAAAAAGTTTTAATAGTATAACATTTTAAACATTTTTTTTTCGGGTTCAAGCCCTGTTCTGGCAGTCAAAACACTATTTGCACTTTATGTACTAGGACGGGGAATCTGGTCACATCTTGTTGCATAATTCATAAAGAAATAGACCTGTAATATCATATTCTTCAACATTGTCAGATGAGCAGCTCCACATTTCAGCCAATTGCATTGTACATTTTTTAACAAAGAGAACATAGATGGGACAAAAAAAGACCCAGAAAACCTATGGTTCTCTTCCCACTAGTGAGCTTTTATTTTCATGAGTTGTTGGAAGTTTTCTGGGCTGTATGGCCATGTTCCAGAAGCATTCTCTCCTGAGGTTTTGCCCACATCTGTGGCAGGCATCCTCAGAGGTTGTAAGGTCTGTTGGAAACTAGGGTAATGAGGTTTATATATCTGTGGAATGTCCAGAATGGGAGAAAAAACTCTTGTCTGTTTGAGGTAGGTGTGAATGTTTCAACTGGCTGCCTTGATTAGCATTTAATGGCCTAGCAATTTCAAGGTCTGGCTTCTTACTGCATTGGGGAATCCTTTGTTGGGAGGAGATTAGCTAGCCCTGTTTGTTTCTTGTTTATTTTTTATCATGACCAGTGTAATATATTGTCATGTTACAGAAAAATGTCTGTGTTATTTTTCATCAAGGCATTACTCAAGAAGCACCATTAACATGCATTGCTTGGCAGTGAATTTGTCCCCTTTAGAAACAAATACTTCTTTAGTGGGCCGGAGTCACTGGAATCTCACTGCTGTCAGAAATTATAAGAAGTATACATTATAATCTTTAATTATACTGAAATACCAAATTTCTAAAAAAATCTAGTGCATGAGAGTAAGATAGTGAGTGGGTGGGCAGAATAGAGTTGAGATTATAGAAATGATGAGTGTACTGAAAACTTTAGGTCTTTGGAAGTCTTTGATTAAGTAGCATCCATTGCTTTGCAACATATGGAAATGATAGCTTAGTGAGAAAAACCAAATTCTGACTTGACTTGTTTCAATATGCTTTAGTTAAAATTAACCGCTGTTCCATGTCCGTACATAACAGATAAGTTGAACATAGAAGTGCATTGTCTAGTCTTCTTGTAGCTCCTCCACAAGTGGCGTGTGAAGAAGAGTGCACAAACCCAAACAGATTACTTTGGCTAAATGTGGTCTAGTGTTTCATTTCAAGCAAGTCATTATGAATGTCGTTGTATAATGTTGTTACTTATCACATACTTTCCAGAAGAAAGTCCAGATAGAAATAAGTAAAGGGAAAAGCTTATTTCTATTAGATATTAAGTCTAGCCATGTCCGACTCTGGGGGTTGGTGCTAATCTCCATTTCTAAACCGAAGAGTCAGCATTCTCCATAGACACCTACAAGGTTATGTGGCCAGCATGACTGCATGGGGTGCTGTTACCTTTCCGCAGAAGTGGTACCTATTGATCTACTCACATTTGCATGTTTTCATACTGCTAGGTTGGCAGAAGCTGGGGCTAACAGCAGGAGCTCACCCTGCTCCCCAGATTCAAACCACCAACCTTTCAGCCAGCAAGTTCAGCAGCTCAGCGGTTTAACCCGCTGAACCACTGGGGGGGGGGGCAGATAGAAATATTGTACTGTAAATGTTTACATGCCTCTCCAGTTCTACTATATGAAATTGATCTAATTAGATATTTTAGCTCCCTTATTCCAGTATTTTGCTCTTTGGGACCAACAGAGCAGCATATGAAAGATGCTCATGCTATGTTTAAATATGTGGAAAATTGATTTTAAATGCATGGTTCTGACCTGCCCCCCTTTTCAACCTCCTTTGAAAAGTTGACCTTAAATCAACTTAAAGCAAGATTGATTTCAAAGAAGGAAAACCTGATAAGAAAATGGGAAGGAAATATAGTATTCTCTTCTAACATTCAGCAACCTTGAGAGCACTTTGTTAAAATGTATGTGCAGAGAGGAAAAATGATAATTTGACAAAGGTTATTTGATGCATAATAGAACAGATATTTGAAAGTGATGGGGAAATTCAATAAAGCATGCAGATGCCACAAGATGATTAGCACTTGTTCTCTCTTCTAGATGAAAAGGAGAAATTTGAACCCACGGTTTTCCGGGATACAATCGTCCAAGGTCTCAACGAAGCTGGTGATGACTTGGAAGCTGTAGCCAAATTTCTGGATGGAACAGGCTCAAGGCTAGATTATCGCCGCTATGCCGACACACTCTTTGACATCTTAATAGCTGGCAGCATGCTAGGTAAATATGTCACACGGAAAACTTCACGACTTTAAGAGCTAATTCTGGAACTACGTCCTCTTATATTTTTGTCTGCTCGTGTTTTACTTCAACCTCAGCCCCTTCCCTTCTGCTCTCTCTTTGTGTCTTGAGTACAACTTCTTGGGTTTTTTAAAATATCTCTTGGTACATTTTTATAGACGTTGTTTTGGTATCCATGGCTACTGCAAATGGCTGAAATAATATTTAGGGTAGAAACTAAAAATAGATGCAGGGAGCATCTCAAGTCATAACATTTGTTCCTCAGCTTGAAAGCAAACAACATTGTTGTGAACCCCAGTGCTCTAAAGAAAGTTGATCAACACGATATATGAAGTCCACATATTTTCAGCTTTGAAAGGTTTTTGGCATATCTGTTCACTCTATTTTCTACCATTTTTGTTACTTTTGTCACTACAAGGGCCTTTGCACTGTAATATTGTCCTCAAGCCTTTGGACAATGGTATTTTCAGTGGACGCAGAGATATTTTTCAACTTTTGATTTAATGTTTTCATTTGTTGATGAGTTACCTTGGAACCCATACTGGTAAAATGCTTGGATATACATGGAACAAGCAAATAAATCAACAGGCAAGCAAGCTTTCTGAGCCTCAAGTCTTTCTGTAGTCACATGCTTGGTTGGTCTTTATGCTACAGATAACTTTCTGGCAAATATGCACACAGTGGGGACATAAACACTAAGAATAAAAGGTGGCTGCATTATTTCTAACAAAATCATACTGTCGTGAGTTAAAACAACATCTTTTTCATTGAGTCTAAGATCATTTTGCTTATGTTTTTTCAGCCCCGGGAGGGACAAGAATAGACGATAATGACAAGACTAAGATGACCAATCACTGTGTGTTTTCCGCACAAGAAGATCACGATGCCCTCCGACATTATGCTCAGGTTTGGTTGCAGAGCACTTAGAGTGATGAATGGACTACGGTTTTGACACTAAGCTAGCCCAATCATTTTCAATCTTTGAAATGATTTTATTTATTATTTATATATGATCTTTTCCCCAAAGCCAGGACACATGGTGGCTTAAACATGTAAAAGAAATAAAAGTAGAATAAGGCATGTAAAAGGATACAAAATAAAATGTTTTAAATTGTGTTAGAACAAGTGTGGGCAACTGCAGAGGGGTTGGGTTGCCAATTTTCATCCCTGCACCCTCTGAGGGGCCACATTGGCATGTCAAATCCACCAGACCCCTTAATTGATTTTCATTAAGATAAGGGGTGGGTTCCCCCCCCCCCCCCAAAAACAGTTCAAAACTGGCACAAAAACACCAGTGTAAGACCTTGGCCAATGGCATGGTGTAGGTCTACTTCTGTGTGATTATTCCAACAAAATATGAATCTAGGGCAGAGAAAGGACTCACACATCCTTTTGGTATAGCCCAGCTAGCATGGTATAACTAAAGGTGAAGCAGTTATAAACCACCAACATTTGGAGAAGTGTGTACTTCCCATCCATGCTCAAGGGTAAGTGTAAAATATGCATTTGAATTGTTCACAAGAAAAATGAGTATCTAAAGGAAATTATGTTTCTTGACGTGGGGCATATAGGAATGTCTGGTTTCTATTGATATTGATATTGGCAACTTTTCTTATATTTAGGTCTTCAATAAACTCATCAGGAGATACAAATATTTGGAAAAAGCATTTGAAGATGAAATTAAAAAGGTAATGCTGCTAACATTTATAATTCAGGTTTTATTTTTGAAATATGCAATATATATTTATATCCACTGATGTATGGAATTTGTATCTGTTCTGAGATACACAATGCTGAATTGTTAATCAAAAATAGTAGCTTCAAAATAATGGGTAATTGTTGAAAAGAATGTTATTTTAATATTCTGATGGTCTCACAAGCCGTCCTTTTCAGTGTTGCTAAGTGTTTGGTATCCTTTATTCCATTCAGCTCTCTCAACACTGCAAACATTGACTTTACTATTAATTACAATAATCTGTTGTTATGAGTAATACTGACTCATTCTGCTTCATGTACTGAAAGTGCTATATGTTCATTCAAACTATCCATTTTCCTTTCCACGTCTGCCCACCCAGCTGACTTCATCTGGGAACACTTGATTGTTAGTAATATTTAGCACAGTTGTAGCAAACTATGCTACGTGTATGTAAATGCAAGGGCTTTTGAAAAAGAATACTTCAAGCAGAGTTTATTGAAAGCTTTCAGTATAAAGTAAAAGGTAGTCACCAAGCTAACCCATATATTGTTTAATGTTAGTGACAGATAGAATCATAGAGTTAGAAGAGACCACATTGGCCATCCAGTCCAACCTCTTGCCATACAGGAAAAGCACAATCAAAGCACCCCCAACAGATGGCAATCCAGCCTGTTTAAAAGCCTCTACATCTGGGGTAGGAAGTTAATGACAATGAAGGCACATGGTCCAATAAATGATTGACACCATAATCTGAATAGGATAGATACATGCCAGTTTTCAGTGCCCCTTGAATTTGGGGCACATGCCTTTTATTCAGGGGGCACAAAGTTAAAACTTCAGTATCTCCAGACAGAGCTTAGTAAATAATTATTAATAATTATATTATAATAATAATAATTACTAGAGTAAGTAGACAATGACCTGGCTCTGAATAGGAAAGCAGCATGTATTCTTTGGAGGTTTCTACAGATTCCTCAACACGAAATTTCTCTTCAATATCCACTCTAAGAAGATTTAGGTAGATATTAGAGAAGTCCCTTTTTTGGGGTTCAGTAGTTTTCAGAGTCTTTTTGTGGAATTATTTTAGCCCAAAAGTGTAAGTTTCCCAAGCTTTCGAGTTGAGTCTTTTAAAAAAAAGATTGTCATTGAGACATGTGTGTATAAAGATAAAACTGTGGACCTGCATCCAGTGAGTTTTGGACTCCTTGTGGTAAGTAGCAACAAATCTTCCACTTGAGCTTTTCTGATTAGTGGTAGAGTGCAGCTGTGGTAAGGATGCAGGACAGTTTTTGTCCCTTGATGCCTACTGTTGGTCAGCTGCCCCACTTCATTTTCAGCTGAATTTTGTAACTGGAAGTAATGTCTGGTTGTGGTTTCCAAGGTGTTTTGGAAGCAGGAGGGTTTAGCTCTGTTACAGGTCCTCTGACATTTCTGCAGAATCACCCGGAAAAATGTGGGCATATATGAGCTTTTGGGAGTCAGGATAGATCCCAAAAAGGAGTTTAGGGTCACACATAACTGTTAGACTGCCTTTTCTGTCTTCTGCCTAAAGACATTTGAGCAATGGACATAATTCTGTGGTTGTTAGCTTCTTAAACATCACCTGCATAAAGTATGGATTTGATCATGATGTAAAATTTGCCATGCAGTTTTTGTAAAACCTTTCACCCAGACAGCACTTTTTATACCCCTACTTTTTTCCAAACTAGGACACAAACTAGTTCACCAAACCAAAGAGATTGTAGATAAAAACACATGCATGCATTCTGTTAGTATCATATGTATGCATTAGCCATACTACACATGTGGGGCAATTTAGTCTTCATAGCCCAAAGGATGTGTTCTGCTGACAGTGGTGAAACAGAGTTGCACTTATAGCAACATTGTACATTCTGGTTGTGCAGGTGTAATATGGTTGTGTATTGGACAGTGGCACCCAATCATTGACATATATTGTATAATGTTGCTGCACTTTCATGGGGGTTACGTAGTGGTGGGTCCAATGGATATTTGGGCTATTTAGGCTGAGGAGAACTCAGATTGCAGGCATAGTATTTATTTATTTGTCGTGTCAGAGCAACCAGTCCATTATATTACATAGTTAAAAACATAAAAATATAATAATAATACATTTTATTTGTTACCCCCTTCTCGGAATGGCTTGAGGTGGAGCACAATAGAGTTAATACACATCACCAGTTAGGTTAATTTTTTTAATGTTCAACAAAATTAAAACCACTTAAAACATGTATTTCAAAGGGAGAAGAAAAGCATAATGGCATATTAAAAAGTTTTTTCAATATAATATAAAACCAATTCATAAAGGCCTGCTGGAATTAAAAGGTCATCACCAAACACTTGTTTGTATAGTACCTGTAGTTATACTGCTGATTGCCTAGCAGCAAATCGGAACTGAGTGGGTGTGAAGTCAATATTATCCAGAAGCACTTCTATGTTTGAAGGCCTCCCCTACAGAGCTGGTAACCAAAGCAATAATAGGGGATAGCAGGAGAATTGCCCTGAAAGCAATCAGTTGTGCAAGTTGGCGATGCAAATAACAACCTGAAGCCGAACACTGTGTTCAATTTTTGTGCTTTCAAAGTAGGTTAATTAGAATTGGATTTCCCTCCTCCTGCAAAACAAAAAGCTGTTTCAGCCAGTGCTTCACAACTGAATAAGGAACAAATAATATCCTTTGAACAAAGGAAAATGGTATCCTTATGTAAAATTAAAATAAAATAAGGCATTCTAGTATGCCTCCTTTCCCAGAAACTCAGATGTTGTTTGTGCTAGTAAACTTTATGGTAAGCAGACTGATCTCTTGTCAAGTGCTGTATCCTATATGTTGGCATCCACAAATAAAATTTCAAATATAAGCTACAGTTAGCTGCACTTAAAACAACTTTTAAAGCACAGCAAGGTAGATATAAGGCTGGAAAGCTCTTGCAAGTATTCCTGGAAGGAAATAAATGACTGAAGAAGAGACATACAGTGTATTTATATTTGTATTTGTCTGTACAGTTGTTGAATAAACCTAAAAAAAAAAAGATCCATTTGCTGATTTGGAACTGGTGCATTTTCATGTCAAGGCATCCTGTAATCACTTTGCATATGCAAAACTCCATCAAAAAGTTTGATAAATCTATTTTGTGTGCCTTGAAAACTTTTTGCAAAGAAAAGTGTATGCTATGTTATATCCAGTTCTGATATTCACAGCCAATAGTCCCTTTTTATTTGCCATCAACTCCTATGCTATTTCAGAACTAGTTATGCAAAGTATACCTTTCTATCAGATTCAGCTTTAGGAGAGTCACAACAAGCTGGAGAGGGAATCTCTTACCTCTCTGTTCTGGTGGTTCTGACCCAACTCTAGAGGAAAACCACAGTTCAACACTGCTTGATGTGTAGCTGGTGGCAGCCTCTTTTCACAGTCACAAAACAGAAAGCATACACCTTGGCTACAGTGGAGGATTCAGCAAGGAGTTGTGATATTAGGAAAGAGTTATCCATGTTCTCCCCAAACGCTTCAAAGGGCTTGAGTCCATCAGGAAAAATGATAGTGATGGTAACTAGGGAAAACGTGTAAGAAGATGGACCAACATCTCCCAAGGCCGATCTACAAGAAATCTGATTGGCTTCCATGCAGCCCATTGTAATTGCAATTTAATTTGAGAAGTCTCTCTGGATATTCAGACAAAAGTAAGGCTATCATTTAGAACTGAGAAGAAGCGACATGAAAAGGTTGATATGGTTCTGTATTATTATTATTTTCAACCAGTTAGCTCTGTCTCCACTGTATTATGAGAAAGGCAGCTTCTGCATTATCCATGAATGAGGTGAAAGCTTACCACGATAGATTCTTTGAACAGGCAAGGCACACATAAAGACAGATATTATGAATATTCCTTTGTGAATGTATGTTTGTGAGTCAGGAAGAATCGTTCACTTTCTTGCTCCAGAATATCCAATGTCTGTTAATGGAGGATGATCTGGATAGTCAGATAAAAGACAGGTTTTGCCCCCGGTGCAACATGCCTCCTAAATGTACAATTTCCTTTATCATTTGCAGTAAAGAGCAATTATTTGCAGCAAAGTGTTACAACTGTGGCCCTCTCAGGTTTTTTTTTAAATTATAGTTCCCATGATCCCTTGTCTTTGAGATTGGAATCTGTTAGCCATACCTCAAGCCAGCTGAAAAACCATGGATGCAAACCCTTGTCTTATATTAAATGAAGCCAAGGCTTGCTCTTCAAAGAAACCATTGCACAATGGGACTCCCTTCTAATTGTATCAAGGAAGATAGGGTGCATTCACACCACTGCTGTTGTTTTACATGCTTCCAAAAGTGTATGTGTCATTTGTTTCACAGCTCCTGTTATTCCTTAAAGCCTTTTCTGAAACGGAGCAGACAAAGTTGGCAATGCTCACCGGAATCTTGCTAGCCAACGGGACACTTCCTGCTACCATTTTAACAAGCCTTTTCACTGACAATATTGTCAAAGAAGGTAACTTTCTTTTTTACTGGCTGCAGGATATCTTAAGCTCTCATTAGGAGATGAATTTGCCTTCCCAGTAATTTGGGTGTTAGGCTCTGAAAAAGTAGCCTTTGTCTTCCTTAGACTTTATGGAAGTGAACTGAGATGAGAACACTTGATTCTGCAGTGCACATGTAAATTGTTATGTTGCTCATTTTACAAACTTCATTAATCACAGTTTAAGTCTAGTCTATCCCCTATCAATATTACAAATTAAATACATACTAAATCCTAAGCACATATTCAAATGTTCCCAAAGTTTCAAATCTCCAGTTGGATACCAATACAGGATTTCACTGTAGGAAACTTCTACATGTTCTGCCATGTACTGGATGTAAATTTTAAGTCTAAATAGAAGATACATGCAATAAGTGCAAATGCATAATAGAAATTTCACTATAAAACATTTATCCCCCATTCCGTAAATCAATAGTTGAAAATCCAACTAGTTTATTCAAGGAGGAAAAGCCTAATCCTTATTCATGGTAACTCCATCTCCTCTTCTCCCCATCTCTCCCTCTTTCTGAAGCAAACTAGTAAGAACAGCTCCTTCTGGAGAAGGAGCCACTGAGCCAAATCTGTTTCATAGGCATTGTGCTGATAAGATTTATTTTGAATAGTGTGGATCCTCCTTTGTGAACCCATGTTGAGAAGGTTTCAGAGGGACTAGTTACAAATTAAAGTGTTTATATTTCTTGGACATACTTGGGAAAAGGAGGGTGGTCTCATTAGTAGAAGTTAAACTAACAAATGGGGAGGGCTGTCTGAATTTAGGGCAGAAGAATGCTTCCTTGATCAAAATACATCAAAGGAAGGTTGTGCTGATCTGAATCAGGATTTTGTGGGAGAAAGAGTCTAAACCTTATATTTTGAGATTGTAAATGGCAGCTAAACTAAGGTACAACAGAAATGAGGTAATTTAAAAAGGGAAACAGTAAGGTTGATCAGTTTCATGTATTATTAGGCAATATAGGCAAAGCTTACAATTGCAGTCTCACTCCAGCACAGCTTTTGTCTAATCATTGTAAAACAGTGGTTCTCAACTTGTGGGTCCCAAGGTGTTTTGTCCTACAGCTCCCAGAAATCCTATCCAGTTTACCAGCTGTTAGGATTTTTGGGAGTTGAAAGCCAAAACATCTGGGGAATGACAGGTTGAGAACCACTATTGTAGAACTAAAGTGGAGTAAGTTGTGCCTCTTCAATTGAAATATAAGCTGTCCTCAGCTTTGAGGTACCAGGCACAGTGTTGGTATATGTAAGAGAGTACTTGAAAGAGCATGCAGAGTATCCACCTTTATCCTTTTCCTTTGTTCATCAATCCATTATGGAACGGGAACTTGAAGGAGAACTCAAGTGGTCATGGTTGGTCATGTGTCATGAGTACAAATAAGAGGCATATACTTAATTTGCATCCTCCTGGTTGTTAGTTCATTGATCTTCCCAGAGTTCCAAGAGGAAAATATGACTCAAAGAGACCCATTCAAAAGCACTCTTTTGGCCTGCTGGCACACTGAACTCATCCACACTTGTTTTGATAATAGTAGTTGCATACCAGAACTTGACTGATGGGTGACCTAATGGTGAAAATAAATAAGAAGACAAGTATAAATAGCCATGATTTCTAAGTTTGTTTCCATTGACACTGCTGACAATGTTAGTCTTGGCGATAGACTATGAATTACTCATGCATGCTCTGAAGAAGCTGTTATCTATCTATAAATATGCTCAATTGATGGCAGGAAGAGACCTTTATAACATCTTACCAACACTCTCAAAAGTTTGAGGTCGAATGTAGAGTCCTACACTTATGGGTAGATTTTCAGGGCTACACATATAACGTCAAGAAATTATTATCAGTTACTCAGTGATTTGGAAATAAATCTCCTTGAGTGTGTGCCATGCATGGACTTCTGTCTGAATATGGGATGCATCTTTCAACAAGATAAAATCAGAATCAAAACTTGCTGCTGCTCTTTGTGCCCCTGTTATATTGCACAGGCTGGAGGCTTTTCACAGGAAAGTACATTTTAGCAATATCAACAGCTGATAACCATGGTAACCCAACTGCTTGAATCCTGCATTTGCCCAAATAAGACTTGTACTTCTTGTTCACTCTCTTCCATGAGTATTTTGAGGGTAGTAGGATTAACATGTTATAAGACATTTGGCCACCCAAATAATAAGTTACTTTGTAGTCCTAGTTTTGCGATCCACTCTGAATAGATATGTTAGGTCCATCTGGTCTGTTTATTGAAATAGCAATTTGACATGTGCATGTTTTTGTTAAATAAAATAACACTTTTACGTTTTTATGATAAACAGTCATGAATAGTGTTGCCTTTCAACTCTATCATATTTTTTTCTACATACATTATGCTTTTATTCATAGCAGGCATCTGTAATATTGATTCTTTAACATCATAACACACAAACTACCATTATCTGCAACTTTTACTTATTGTCATTGTCAAACTTGGTTCAATTTTATTGCTTCCAAACCTGTGTTCTTAAAAAAAATCCCTCCCAGTTGGCTATAAATTTAAATTATATTTATTTGTACTCTTGCTTACATTGGTTTTATTATTTTCTAGGTATTGCAGCTTCTTTTGCTGTCAAGCTTTTTAAAGCTTGGATGCTAGAAAAAGATGCCAATTCAGTTACCTCCTCATTAAGAAAAGCGAACTTAGACAAGAGGTTGCTAGTAAGTATTCCCTTCTTCTCTTTGGTGTTGTTTGATATGTTGTTATTATTTATTATCCAATAATCAGGTTTACCTACAGTGTCAATTCAGAACAATGAAAGAAGTGAACTACAGAAATCAATAAATAAATAAATAAATAAATAATAAATAAAGAACAACACTCAAAAGAACAGGAGAATTCCAGACATGAAACAATCAAGGCCAGCTAACACCTCTCAACAAAAAATTCCCCCAGGCAATAAGCAGTCAGGCTTTGAAGCTGCAATGCCATTCTGTGCTAATCAAGGTAGCCAATTGCAACATTCACACCTGCCTCAGACAGACAAGAGTTGTAAATTAATGAAAGATTTTTCCATCCTGAAACATCCTGGCTTCCATCTCAGTTTTCTGGCAGATGTTGACCCTTCTTAATTGGTGCTGTAAACAATAAACCTTGTATTAACTTCCTTCTTAACCTAAGGAATCTTGCAAGAAATGTCCTTAACTTAAAAGAGCCCATGTCTCTGACTAATGTAAATACATTGTTTTCCCCCAGAAAAATTAACAGTTAATCATTTGTCACAGTCCTTATCACTGTCAGCAGTTTAGCAACTTTTAATTTCAGTTCAGCAATCAGGCAGTTAGTCATTGAAGGTCTTAATATTTTTGAATGGTGTCTTCAGCCAAATTATTAGCTCTCATTCATTCATTACTTTCATACAATTCATTCAACCCATGTGTCATATTTCTCATCATGACAATACAGCCCAGAAAACTCACAGCAACTCAATAATAATAATAATAATATTTCTAACTTGCCCTCTCTCCCCAAATGGATTCAGGGCGGCTTCCAAACACAAAGGCAAATATTCAATGCCATATACAATCATAAAACACAGCACAATAAAATAACAAATAAATCATAGTTAAAAGCACATATAAAATAGTCTCTATGGGGAGGATAAATTATCAGAAACAACATATAATCAAAAAAAATCTATTGGACAATCTAGACTGGCCAAATGCACATTGTTTTGAAAGAAAATGCAACTTGGCTTGTTTGCTTGCTTATTTATTTATTTTTCTTTATTGTGTATATATTGGCTTTTTCCCAGGGCAGCTTCCAAAACAGTTTTAAACGATTCACAGTAAAAAAAAATGTGAACTGCATAAAACCATGTAAAAACATTTCTAAAAACAAAAACAAGTTTTAAAATAATAAAATTCTTCAAGGTAGCACACCTAGTATTGCAGACAAAACATTCTGACAGATATAGAAATGAGAAGTTGTAGCTTGGCACAATGAGCAGCAATTTCACTCATTAGTTGAAGTATTCGCACATATTTTGATAAGCTATTCCTTGAAGTTAGATGTTTCCCAGAAGATAGAATGGTGAATTTTAAGTGTACGGGGGCAAATATGGTCCTCCTGAGAATCGATTACAACTTCAGCCCCATCTACATTGCCATATAATGTGGTTTCAGAATGCAGATTGAATTGGATTATATGGCAGCGTAGACTCGTATAATTCAGTTCATCTGCACTCTGAAACTACATTATATGGCATTGTAGGTGAGGCCATCCTGGGGTTTCCTACATGGCTATTTTCCCTTCCTTGCGGAATGAGTAGAGCCCATGGGATCCTGAGGTGGACTGAAAAACAAGACAGTAGGGCTCTTAGACTTTCTTTGGTTGGTCATTGCTGTCCCCCGTCCCCCCTAGAATTGCAAACTCTTACAACACCCAACAGAAGCTACATATTAAAGAGAACCAACTCAAGATGTTGTGATCTTCTGCTATTAAAATGCCTGATATGTTTTGTCCTTTAAGTATTTCAAGTCTTCTTGAAGGATTTTGATTGCTAAAATAAAAAGGAAAACATTCGTACTAAGTTATGATTTATCAGAGATTTCTGCAAGCTGTTTTCTTTGAGTAAACTCTTAAAGAAGGCCCCAAAGTAATTGAAAGTTGAAATGTTTTGGCATTTTAATGATGATACATCACAGCATCCTGAGATGTGCCTATTACATTTGTGAGCATCCCTCTTTTGTGCCTCTGTGCCCCAAGACTAACATGCACTGCAGATTGTTCCAGATGGCTCCTAGCCAGAAACTAAGTCTGTGTTGTTTACTGAGATCCTTCTGCCTTTCAAAGCACTCTCAGTACTTTAAATGAAAATGAAATGAAATTTAAAAGGCCCACATGCAGTCTTTGGTGCCTCATAAAAAGCTCTCACTAATGGCTGTCTAGTTCTCTATTCAGATCCAGTGGCCACTTAAGTGCTCTCCTAAAACAGTGACTGCTTTACCACAGCTGGGTAGCAAAGTTTATATTGCAAGTTTATATTATTTCTATTTTTGTGGCCATGTTTTTGTTTTATGTGCTTCTCCTCAATCGTCACAAAATGATTTGACTTCATATATCATTTTAAATGTCTTGTTCCTTTCTTTCAGGAACTGTTTCCTCCCAACCGGCAGAATGTGGAGCATTTTGCCAAGTACTTCACTGATGCTGGACTCAAAGAGCTTTCAGATTTCCTCCGAGTTCAACAGTCACTGGGGACGAGGAAAGAGCTGCAAAAGGAACTCCAGGAGCGCCTTTCTCAGGAATGCCCCATTAAAGAGGTGGAAAAATTGGTTTCTCTCTTATACAAATTAAAAGAAAAATGGAAAAGTTTAAGTGAATGTGGGCTACCATGGGAAGAGATTAAAAATGTAGCTGATAAGATTGGGATAAAGAACAAAGTTGTGGTGTAGAAAAATGTTCATGGAAATAATTTTGTATATCTTTCCATGAGTTTTCTCCATTGTATATATTCTGTTTAATCTTAGTTGTCTCTGTTTTTGAACTACTATAGGAAGTGTTAGATCAGATAAATATAGGATGTGAAGTGCTAATTATTTTTTAAGGCAAACATAGAGGCATTTTGCTGATCAGAGGAATAGACTAAAAAATAAATACACTGCTGAGCTTGTTTTCACAATATATTTTTTTCTCGGTCAAAAGTAGATAATAATTTATTTATTTGACCAGTCATATGGCCATTTCAAAATACGAGTAAAAGACAAGGCAAAAAGGTGAGGACAGCAGTTGACCTTCTATTTACAGTCAGAGTCTTACTTTCCTGGTTCTTCTTTCAGGAAATAGTCAAAAGTAGATGTACACACAACAAAATGTGATACCTGTACCCAAACTCGCAAAATCATTTAGCATTCTTCTTAGGTTATTATAATGTACTGTATACTCAAACTGAATGGGTCATCTATTTTTACAATTCTGATACAAATAAAGATGTAAGCTTGTGAATGGCAGGGTCAGTGCCAAACCCAGAACCCCTAATAATATAAAATCAGTTCCATTTTGGTTGTAATTTATAATATATATATATAGTTCAAATATGGAAGAAACCAAAATGGACAGATGTTCCCAAAGTTGTAACATGGCATGGATGGATTAGTAGCTGGAGTTTTATGTCATACATGTGTGTCTGCTCTTTGGCACAGTAATTGTTTCCTAATAATAATAATAACAACAACAACAATATTTTTTCATCCTGATTGAGATGGCACAAAGCAGAAAAGGAAGAAAAGGGGGCTGTGACCCATGATGTCTGGAAAAATATGCTTCTCACTTACATTTTGTTACGCTTCCCCTGCTTTGCAACTAGCTTTGTTTTGGTACATTCATATAAATGATCCTGAGATTATAATAGGGACTTTTTAGATGGAGCAGTCTAAAATAAAAGTAATTCAAGTTATTTTAGCATGCCAAGTATCTTTTGATTTTTATTCAGAATGCTGCATATGTTGGAAAACTAGAGTTACATGCTTTAAGTTACCCAACTGTTGGCAGTGAGTTGCCAGTTGTAGTATTAACAATTGTTCGTGCTGAACCACTGCTAAGAGACAGGATTAATATGTTGTGAACAGTTCATTCTGAAATAAGACTTTTTGCAGGAGACAAATTATCCAACCAGTTTCACACCCCCCCCCCCCAAAAAAACCCAACGATCCAGGCATTCTGGGTCAGTTCTTGCCAAATAATGGAATAGTTTTATAGTGTCAGAGGAAGGCAGTGGGAGCTTTCTCTCTTAAAGACCTTCTTAAGTAAACCCCATGCTAGTTTTACCTTAGGGAAAGTCAGAAACAACTTAAAGGCATACATTAAGAATTTTCATGTGATGCTTGCCCCCTGGCGACTGCTAAGAGAACTTTTACTCCCTATTGTATGTTGTAACAGTGAGAATGTTTGCTTGCTGTATGAAGATTGAGGTATGGTGAACCCACTTTTACTTATACCGTTTCATTTAGTTCAAAGTGATCTAGAAACTTACTTACTTACTTACTTATTTAGATGATCCTTTGTTGTCTGAGTATGATGGCCTTCCAAGTGGTGGTGGATTCGTAGGTGTCTGTAGAGCCCTATTCTTGACCGACATGTTCTTCCACAGTGAGGACATCAGTTTCCAGGTGAAAGATGGTTCTGGCAGGATTGGCTTGATGTGCCTTTCTCTTGGCACATTTATTCCTTTTGTGCTCCATTCGTGCCTCTTCAAATTCCATAGCACTGCTGGTCACAGCTGACCAGCTAGAGTGCTCAAGGGCCAGTTCTCGGTGTCAATGTCACACTTTTAAAGATTAACATTTAAATCTCTTTTCCTGACCACCAACATTTCATTTTCCATTCTTGAGTAGCGAGTATAGTAACTGCTTTGGGAGATGGTGATCCGACATTTGGACAGCATGGCCAGTCTAGCAAAGTTGATGGCATCGGAGCAGCGCTTCAATGCTAATGGTCTTCGCTTTTTCCAGCATGCTGACATTTATCTGCATGTCTTCCCAAGAGATTTGCAGGATTTTCCAGAGGCAACACTGATGGAATCATCCCAGAATCATCCCAGAAGTTGAGTGTGAAGTTGAGAGGACAATAGCTTTATAAACAAGCGCTTTGGTATCCCTATGGGTGTCCCGAGCCTCAAACACTCTCTACTTCATTCGAAAAAATGCTGCACTCGCAGAGCTCAAGCGGTGTTGTATTTCAGTGTCAATGTTGACTTTTATGGAGAGGTGGCTGCCAAGGTAGCAGCAATGGCCAACATTTTTTATCATTACATCATTAAGCTGAATTTCTGACATTGCCAAGGGATTGGTTAGTACCTGCTGGATGAGCACTTTGGTTTTCTCGATGTTCAATGAGAGGCTGAGCTTCTTGTATGCTTCTGCAAAGGTGTTTAAAGTGGCTTGTAGGTCTTCTTCTTAATGTGCACAGACTATATTACCATTGGCATATTGGAGTTCTATAACAGATATTGTTGTGACCTCAGTTTTGGCTTTCAGTTTGATCTAGAAAACCAGGCATCCTGCCCCATTAAAAGCTCATTGTGCCATGCTTCTTTTTTGTATTCCCCAACACAGTTTTTTCTGTAAATTTCCAACAATTGGATTACATGATCCAGGAATCTAATTGTTGGCAAGGGTTTATAGGTAACAAGGAGGTGTTATTTAAAAATTGGCTTTAACGTGCCTTTTTATTTTAAAATACTGTATATCTCTCTGCAGATGGTGCTTTACGTGAAAGAAGAAATGAAGAGGAACGATCTTGCAGAACCAGCAGTGATTGGACTCCTCTGGACCTGTATAATGAATGCTGTTGAATGGAACAAGAAAGAAGAGTTGGTTGCTGAGCAGGCACTTAAACATTTGAAGGTATGGTAGTGGGCAATTTTATACCCTCAGAATGTAGGATTGGCTCCAGAGGTCTCTATGGACACAGCTGTTTGTGCATGAACATTTGCACAATTCTCCACTGTAGGAAGACATAAAAAGCATGTCCATTAAAAAAACTATTCTTGATGCTAATATTAGAGGCCAACTCACAATGAGAAAAACTTTCCACCCATTCCACCAAGTCTGTGCAACGCACAGTATTATCATGGCATCAACATTTCCCTAGTCTATTGACAATAGACTTTGGGGAGTGATTTCAGGGTGAGCCAAAAGAAGGGTTTGAATTGATGTTTATTTTATAAAGTATGTTTTGAAAAGAGAGCAGGCAATATTCAGATAATGGTCTCTTTAGTTTTAATTTGTACAGAACTAATTTCTCCTCTATTTTTTTTATAGCAATATGCACCTTTGCTGGCTGTTTTCAGCACCCAGGGCCAGTCAGAGTTGATTCTTCTTCAGAAGGTTCAGGAATACTGCTATGATAACATCCACTTTATGAAAGCCTTTCAGAAGATTGTGGTGCTCTTTTATAAAGGTATATGTCCATATCAATTTGGATTTTTATTTCTTTTGCTTGGTTTTATTTTTATAAAATATAACTTAGATAAAATGTAAAATGTTGTACAAAATCCAGCATCTGTTGATCAGTACTGAAATATTTATTAAGGATTATTAATGTGATGCACATTAGTGGTTTTGGGCTTTTGGTTTTCAATTCCCTTCTAGGAACTGAAAACCAAAACATTTGAAGAGGATTAAAAGTTGAAGAATTTTGCTTTACACCAAGATGGGTCAGAATTCTTGTTTGGGGGAACATCCCTTCACCTCCTCTCATAGCTATGACCCATTTAAAATGAGATTATGCCAGGTTAGCAAAATATTTGTGGCAGATATTATAGAAACATTTTGCCAGCAATCATTATCTGGCATATTACATAGCACAAAAACATAATGCCATAGCACAGTAATGCAATGCTATTCATAGTTGCTAAACATCCATAATAGAAAATGTATCTTGTAGAGTCAATTGAAATGCACTGAAAATGATCCATGCTGCAGAGCATTTCATATACTAGGAGAAGAACCTAGTCAGAGGCATATTTAATAAGAGAGAGGACTTCAGTTGCATTTTCTCACATGTTATCTGCTGCTCATATGAGTAAGTTCTTATTCCATTGATAAAAAAATGTGGAATGAGGATTAGATGGGTATATCTGATCTTGCTTCAGGGCTGTTACTACATTTTTGAGTTATTTAAGCAATCTAAAGTGTTTGGGAAAGTGCATGAAGGTATTTTGCACCCTAACTCCCTGCCTCATGGGATACCTCTCCATCCAGATACACCAATATACTTTGTCTCTGCTTCAAAATGGTGACAAGATAATTATGCTGCCATTTCCTATTCTCATTGTAAGAGAAAACAAAATAAAAGCAAGGTATTTGATGAGGGAGTGGAATTGGGAAGGAGCATGTGTATTTGCAAAAATGAAGGACAGCTTTCAACATGATTTTAGGGGATTTTTTTGCCAAAATCATGTCAAAAATAGAAAAATGGGAGGGGGCACATGAAACCTATAGACCACACTTTCCCACTTGCCTTTGTTTTGAACCAGGGAAGGGCAGCAGCAGCGGTATTCACACAACTCTACTTGTATGAATTGCTATACAGGGCTTATTTTTGGAGATCCAGTGAGGCATTCCTTGAATTGCCTTTTGAACATCAAAAGGCCAGAAGGTGCCTTTTAGGAGTCACAGTTGGTTGATTCTCCAATGTTCGCAGAGCATAAGACAAATCACATTTCAGTTTGAAAAGTAACAATGAATCTTAACAAGATTGAATAGTCTCTTAAATATATAAATGGGGAAGTGTCTTTGGGAGAGTCAAATAAAAGCACATCTCTGATTTTATTCAAAAAGATACAAGAAGGCACTTTAAAATGAGCTGTTGGTTCCCTCTCTCCAGTCTCCCCAATCTTATATAAAGATTGGGTTCATCGCTTGTTTAGCCTGGGTTGTCATAGAGATAAAAGTCTGTCTTCTGCTGAGTGTTACATGACATTGTTGCTATAAATAGATGAATGAAAGAAAAACTTCCGCAGAAACATTTCATAATGTGTTGTGTCATCATGACCACAGTAAGTTGTGGAGTTTGGGACTAACTCCTTAAAGTTATCCTCTAGTGCAGTCTGTAAAATGAGTATTAAAATCCCTTTAGTACTGAGCTAGGCAACACAAAAACCTCCAGATGTTTTTTTATCACATCAAAAGTGATAACTGCAAGTTGCTTCTGGTGTGAGAGAATAGGCCATCTGCAGGGACATTGCCCAGAGGATGCCTGGATGTGTTACCATCCTGTGGGAGTCTTCTCTCATGTCCCCGCATGGGAAGCTGGGGCTCACAGACAGGAGCTCACCACATCTTGTGAATTTGAACTGCCAACCTTCAAGTCAGCATTTCAGCCAGCACAAGGGTTTCACCTATTGTGCCACCATAGTTCCAGATGTTGTTGGACTACAGTCTTCTATTATTCCTTAACATTAGCTGTCTAACTGGGGCTGTTAAGCATTGCAATTCAATACATGCACACACACTCTCCTGCTTTATGAACTGTGGCAGTGAGAAGTTAAAACATTTAGATAAGACAAGTATTGCATCATTTTGGATATAATAATTCAGTGTGCTAACTCAAGCTGAGAAAAACTTACCTAATCACCATTTTGCTCCTTTCCTACTAATGTCTCTCCTTTGGCATGGTCTTGATCTAGGTTAGCAGGTCCCAACTTTTGGTCCTTCAGATAGCTTTGACTTCAGTTCCTAGAATTTCTGATTGTTGGCAAGCTAAATGGGGCTTCTGGTAGTTGAAGTCCAAAACACCCAAAGGACCAAAAGCTGGGAGCCATAAATCTAATTAAATCACAATTCTACTTTATATCTGAAATGGAAAACTCCATTTCTCATTTAAAATTCTGGTGTTTAGTCAAATTATGGTTTAAGATTATGGTTATTAGACATTAAACCGATGCTCACTGTTTCAATGCAAATTAGAATTATGATTTAAATCAGGACTAAACAACATGCCAGCATCACCAATGTGAATGATGATCTCTGAAGTTCCAAAACATCAAAATTTATGTTTGCTCATAAAGTGACAAAGATTAAAGCATCAAAGCCTGAGTACACAAAGGACTTCATCACATTGAGGTCCCAAACACAGGCAACAGTGGGGGGATTCACCAGGTATTGTGGTGAATCCATGGGGCAGCAGTTAACACCCTCACCCTGTGCCCTGCATTACCCACATTGCCATTTTCCCCATCACACAGGGGAAAGCGTCGCCACCTGGCTTCCCCCCATGCTGGTCCCATTCTAAGTAATGAGAACATGGGAAGCCTGCTGTGTTATCTTTGGCCTCTGTCCCAGGACACTGCCAGGATGGTGTCTCCAGCAGTCTCTGTCCTGGCTCCATCCCAAGAAGTCAATGTGATGAGGTCCAAAGAGATGGACATGAAGCAATCCAGTATTTTTATGACATGCTAAGTTCATTATTTTAAGAAGCTTCACTGAATGTTCTGAATAAATTGTTCTGTGTGACTGTGTGTAGTCATGTTGATTAGGCTTAGTTTACAGCCATTCTTTTATGTTCCTCTCTACTTATGACTGTCAAGTTATCCAGAGACAAGGTACTCTCCATTTCTTCCACTGGGATGCCCCCAATAACCATATGACTGTTTGTGCGGCTTCATCAGTTTTAACAGATTCCAAGGCATTCCCATGTTTCTATAAAGGCTCCCATCGTCTTTTTTTTGTTGAGACAAATACGACATTTAAGAAGTCACATTTAAGAAGTTTCTCAATCCTGATCCATCCCTTACAGCAGTCTTATATAGCTAAGAGAAGTTAAACGTATTAAGTCCATCTGTTCCTTAGCCAGGCTTTATGCCACACAGGTTCATCTGGTTTGTTTTCGGTACTTTGCTATATGTTAGTATTTTTGATTTATTATTTTTAGCTGGATTGTCTGGGGCGGCCCTCCTCTCACTTCTGCCTCTGTCAAAAAAATGGTTGGTGGAGATGAGGGACACGACCTTCTTGGTGATGGCCACCCAACTTTGTAACTTCCTTCCCAGGAAGATTAGGCACTCCCCCACACTGTCCTCCTTTCATAGGGAACTGAAAACCTGGATGTTCCAGCAAACTTTCAAGAATGACTAGTCCCTAGGCCCAATCCCTAGGTTGCTAGGTTCTGCACTTCATCCATTTCCCAAGCCCTATGTTTTTTTGCACTATTCCTTGTCCAGCCCTTTTATACCTGATGATTACATCTATTTTAGTATTCTTGGCCATTGCTATTTTTGAACCTCACCTAATAAAATTAGTTTTATATTTTTATTTATCATATTTTTTATTTTTCGCTATTTTGTTTATTAAGTTATAGTTAGTTCTATATTGTCTAATGTGTCCTGTCTTGTTGTAAATTGTTTGCATGGTTTTCCTTTTGGCATTGAATGTTGGCCATATTCATTGGAAACTGCCCTGAGTCCCTTTGGGGAGATAGGGCGGTCTATAAATTTTTATTATTATTTATTATATACATAAAAATAGCAAGGATATCTCACTTCTTTGTAACTGTGGCTTACAGAAAAAATAATGTTGACAATTTCTGCATTTTGGCAACTTGTGCACTATTGTAAACCTTATTTTTAAAAAACCTTACCAATCAATGTAGTGTACTTGGCTTGTGTCCACCAAACACACTGAACTAAACTTCTTTTAAGTCAGTTATGTTCCAACCTTATCAATCAGAAAATGTCTCCCCATCTTGCACAGTTCCCCTACCAGTGTGGTTTGTGTCCCTTTTTAGTATGTGTTTGCAAAAATTCCGTAAGTTTGAGATAGTAGGTGGCAGAACTCATTCCTCACTCTGTGTGTATTTCCTACAGGGTGACATTAGTAAGGGCTGCATTGAGACCTACCCACAAAAGTTCAGCGAAAATTGCAATATAATTTAAAATGTCATCTTAATCATCTTTAATCATAAATATCTAAATATAAATTGCCCCCAGTGTTCTTTGCACTGCAAAAAGTAACTGAAAGGTATAATTAATTGTATCTTGTCCTGCATGATTGCTTAATTGAACATCTCTCTGTGTGTGCCTCTCTCCCCCTCTATTGACAAGAGAATATTATCTTTTTGGAGGTACTAAAGGCATGAATAAATTACCAATAACCTTTTCACAAAATGAAGAGGAAGGTTCAGCTGATCTCCTGATTCATACAGGAGACTCGTTTCATTCTTTTTTCTTTGCTCACAGTGGCCTGTGTTGAGATTTCATTTTCTTTGTTTAGCACATAGTATTGGTGCTTCTCTTTCCTCTTCTCTCATGGTTAATCTTCTTCAAATTCCAGTTGTCTTGTCTCCCTAGAAAGGTTTTGGTTAAATAGGCACCATTGCCAAGTAGCATCTGAACTAGGGTTCTGGTTATCCTATACATTTCCTTGCATGCTTGTGCCATTCCATTCATGTAGTATGGAAATTAAGTTTTAAGTAATCTAAATATAGCCTTCAACAGAATACCTGTCAGCATTTGTCTAGCAATTAATTACAATGTCTGCTACAACAGATGTGCTAAAGGTGGGTTGCTTTTCAGCCAAGGCATGGAAATGTGTGTGAAATGTCTTATTAGATCTCTCCTGCTGAAAGTTATGATTCATAGCTTTGGGATAATCTTGGGACCAGTGCGCTTTCTGGAAAAGTCAGGTTGCAGCAATGGCCTAGACCATTGTCTAGGTTCAGCTGGCATTCCAGCTGCAACCTTTTTTGTGAAAGGAAGATTGGAGCCCCCATGGCACAATGGGTTAAATCCTTGTTCCAGCAGGACTGCTGACCAAAAAGGTTGGCGGTTTGAATCCAGGAAGTGTGGTGAGCTCTCATCTGTCAGCTCCAGCTTCTCATGTAGAGACATGAGAGAAGCCTCCCACAGGATGCTAAAACATCTGGTCATCCCCTGGGCGACATCTTTGCAGACAGCCAATTCTCTCACACCAGAAGCGACCTGCAGGTTCTCAAGTCGCTCCTGACACACACAAAAATCAACTTGGCTACTGTAATGCGCTCTATTTGAAAGCTGCAGTTAATGCCAAATTGGTGAACCATATAACATTGGTCCTCCAAGAACTGCACTGGGTTAGAGTTTTACTTCCAAGCTCAGTCAAGTTGCTGTTATTGACCTGCAAACCTTTAAATGACTCAAGGGCAAGATATCAAAAAAACTTCGACTTTTTGTATGATCCTGCAAGAAATTTGAGATCTTCAGAGGAGGTCCTGTTCCATGACCCAACATTTTGTGAAATAGCAGTGCCTTAGCTGTGGAATTCCCTACCCAAAGAAGTTACACTGCCCTTATCTTGCTTAAGCTTCTAGTGGGATAGCATAACAGTACTGTTCCACATGGCATTCATTGTTTGAAGTGACTGATGTGACTTTTTCAACTCTGGATTCTGTGAGCCCTTGCTAGGATGCACTACAGAAATACTTTAAATAAATACATATAGATACTGAAGAATTACATTCCTAGGCTGAACAGACAGATGAACAGGAGATTTTTTTCTCTCTCATTAGCACTGATTTTGGAAGTTATAGTTCAAACAACTCTCAATAGTGACTATATAAAATTCATTGTTACTTGCATGTCTTCAAGTCCTTTCTGGCAACCCTAGGATGAATTTATTACTTGGTGGATAAGGGGTATGTGGTTACTCATTGCCATTTTTAGTGGGGAAGAGAGTGTGTCTTGCCCAAGGCTAACCATTGTGTTTCATATTTAAGCAAAGATTAACCACACTTGGCTTTTTAATAAATATTTTTATTGAGATACTTTTTAACATATACCTGTATATACTCATATATAAACCAACCCAAATATAAGCCGACACGCTTAATTTTGCCACAAAAAAACTGGGAAAACTTATTGACCTGAGTACAAGCCGAGGGTAGGAAATGCAGCTACTGGTAAATTTCAAAAGAAAAATAGATACCAATAAAATTGCATTAATTGAGACATCAGTAGGTTAAATGTTTTGAACATTTACATAAAACTGTAATTTAAGATAAGACTGTCCAACTCTGATTAAATTGTTATTCTAACCTTCTTCAGTGTAAATGTGCTTACATATCCTTCCAATAATCACCATAGTTTATTTTAACTATATATTTTGGGGGAAAATGCTGTGTGTATATGAATAAAGAAAAGTGGGAAAGACTGGTGCAGAGAGAGAAGGAGAGAAAAACGTGCACTGCATGAGAGAGGAAGAAATATGCTGCGCTGAGAGAGGAGAAAAGGAAGGAGAGTTGGGTTGCTGTGCGGAGAGGTGAGGGTCCTGGCAGGAAGGTGTGTGGCTGAAAGAAGCCCTTCATTCAGCCCCATACCTTCCTGCCAGGACCCTCACCTGAGCATAAGCCAAGCCGGGGGGGGGGGGGGTAGCCTAAAAAAGGGCTGAAAACTAGGCTTATACTCAAGTATATACAGTAACTAAAATAAGAAGATATAGAAAAGAAAAAATCAAGAAAGGGTAAACTTGAAGTATAGAACCAGAAGGAAAAGGAGGGTTGAAGTAAAAGTTTTAATTGTTAATTTGCTGTCCAAACCATACACCCACCTGCTCTTTTTCTGACTTTTTAATTTTAGCGGATGTCCTAAGTGAAGAGGCCATCTTGAAATGGTATAAAGAGGCACATCTTGCCAAAGGCAAAAGCGTTTTCCTTGACCAGATGAAGAAGTTTGTTGAGTGGCTGCAGAATGCTGAGGAAGGTAATACTTCATCTGAACCTCTCACTCCTTAGCAAACATCTTTCCCATTCATGAAATACACTGATGCTCAAAGCTGATACTAAATAATTCTTTGTAGCCAAAGTTTTAAAAGCAATCCAGAATTCACTTGATTGGGTCCAACATATGGATTTTCCATTGTTCAGATACCCTTCTATTTGTTTAGTAGTCATGGCATAGTGGTTCTCTGTCCCCAGTTTATTGAATTAAATGGTCTGAGTGTTTTGGTGAATTTTCTTGTCTATGTAATGATTGTGGGTGGGTAGCAACCTTTAGTGTCCTTCTAAAACAGTGGTTCTCAACATTCCTAATGCCGCGACTGCTTAATACAGTTCCTCATGTTGTGGTGATTCCCAACCATAAAATTATTTTTGTTGCTACTTCGTAACTGTAATTTTGCTACTGTAATGAATCTTAATGTAAATGTCCACAAGTTTTTAAATGGATGGACAATTAAGGGTGTCTCAAAATACCCAAACAAACTAGAGCCAGGAATTTGTATGAGTAGAACATTTGGATGGCTATCAGCTTTCCATGCATGAGAAAAAAATGTAAAAAATGTAAATGCCATGGGTTTGTTCAGTCAATTTTATCCAGTTTTTTATTGTTCCGAGAGGCAGAGTTCATAATTCCATTTCTAGGGGTAGATGTCCTCTCACTTCCTTTCATCTCACTAAAACTCAGGGACATGACATAGAACATAAACCTCCCTCTTGTAGGTTTGGTTTTTTATTAATTCCAGAATAGAATGTCATTTGTAGAGACTGAAATGTTCTATCTAGACTGCATGAAGGTTAAAAAATGTAAGATCATTAAAGTCAAGCAAGTTCTTTTAAAAATAAAAGGAAAGATTATCACAACTTTGTGTCTGTTATGAGAAGTCTCCCCACCACCACCTCATCTCAAAACGTTGTGAAATGTCTACTATTCTATCATAAATATTCTTCTCCCATTGTAATGGGATGAATGACCCTGCATCATGAAAGGGATGTTTTAGCTAGTGTTAATCTGAAAACACATGCATTTTTTTTCCAGATGTCTTTGGAAATAGTTAAAATTGAATGTTTCTGTGGTATCTGTTTTAATACTAGGGAAAAATCCTAATCTTTGCCCCTTTTTTCTTTTGAATTTTAGAATCTGAATCTGAAGGGGAAGAAAACCAAGATGGCTGAATGAAGCACAAAACTAAAATTACAGCCAATTGCGTCTTGGGGGGATTTTGTACCGTTCACGCAAAGGACTCTTACTTCAGTGTCATACCGAAAACTTTAGCCTAGGCTTTCCTTTTGTTTAGAAGAATAAAATGTGGAGCCCTAAGATGTTAGATGCTGTACTTGAAACTCTCCATCTGGCACGCTGTACACTAATGTAGGCCAGGGGCATTCAGCAAGGAGACATATAGCAGAACAGAACTAAATTACTTAAGGACTCCTTTTTATTAGCGTCTTTCAGGTACTTTGGTGTCCGTCCATAGGGTTGTTCGATTTGTGCGTGTAGCTCAACATTTGCTTGTGTATGTGATTTGACATGGCCACATTTTTTGGAATTAAATGGCTTTTATATCTTAATTCATGCTACTACACATTGTTGTTTGTTTCAGAAGTGGCTAAACTACTATTGAAATTCTTCAGGCAGATCCAGAAAGCTCAAGACTGCACTTTATTTTATTGACATGGCAAGCAACTTCTCTATTTGCCTGCATGGAGAGTTTCCACACTTGGATTTGACATCTTCAGGAACATGTGACCTTGATGTAGAAACTCTTAAGAGTCTTTGGAGCTTTCCATTTAAGAACCAAAGGCAATGCATTTGTATTACCAGAAATAGGTGATAGTTTTGCCATATGAATAAATAACATGTTTGAGTAGGATCCAGATGTTATTAGATGTTATTAAATATCCAGTGGTGAGGAATGCTGGGAGTAATATCTCACAGGCTGCCTGATTTAAACTCTGATGTAGAAGATCTGTATGACAGGGAAGCCTATATGATAGATAAATTGGAATAAGCAGAGGGTGGGTGTTCTTTTCACATTCTTAAATTTCATTCCATTATGATGAGTTTGAAACTTGTCTAAGCAATTAATTACAACATGTCTAATCAGTTAATTGGTTATAGTGATCAATTAAAATACCTTTGTTGATTAAAAGCCCTCCTGTTTAATTGGCTGATTTTTTAAAAAACGAAAACTATTTTGATGCAAAATACAGTTTAATACAGGAAATGGCCATAAATAATTCCCAAAGTAGTCCTTTGCCTTTTCTGTCAAATTGTAGGAGGATTGCCTTTTTGTAAGGGAGGGATGATAAGAATGATAGGCTATCATTCAAGGACTGTGATTCTTTCAATGATGCCCTATAATTCTCATCGTACCAAACTACTGGCCATACTAGCTGGCATTGATGTGAGTTGGAATCAAACAACTAAGAAGCCACAGGTTGCCTACCTTGCCTAAAGACGCTTGTTGCTATGACACCATCTTGAAATATGTTTCTTACTTTAGGGCTATTGTTTCTAACCCTGAAAACATGTGTCAATTTAAATGATTAATCAACAAAGCCATATTATCTATTAACTACTTTAATCAGGTTATTTTAAAGGAGTGTTTCTCAACCTTCTTAATGCTGCAACCCCTTAATGCAGTTCCTCATGTTGTGCTAATCCCCAATCATAACATTATTTTGTTACTACTTTAATTTTATATATTAAAATTAAAACTATATAATTTTAATATAGTTATTAATCACAATGTAAATATTGGATATGCAGGATGTATTTTCATTTACTGGACCACATTTGGCAGAAACACCCGATACGCCCAAATTTGAATACTGGTGGGGTTGGGGGGGGGGCTTTATTTTGTCATTTTGGAGTTGTAGTTGTTGGGATTTATAGTTAAGCTATAATCAAAGAGCATTCTGAACTCCTCCAATGATGGAATTGAACCAAACTTGGCACACAGAACTCCTATGACCAACAGAAAATCCTGGAAGGGATTGGTGGGCATTGAATTTGAGTTTTGGAGTTATAGTTCACCTACAACCAGAGAGCACTATGGACTCAATGATGGATTTGGACCAAACTTGTCACGAACACTCAATATGCCCAAATGTGAAATAGACCTTTACAGTTGGGATTTATAGTACAATAAACAAAGAGCATTCCGACCCTCCCCCCCATGATAGAATTGGGCCAAACTTCCCACACTGAACCCCCATGACCAACAGAAAGTACTGTGTTTTCTTTGGTGACCCCTCTGACCCCCCTTGTGATCCCCCCCCAGGGGTTCTGACCTCCAGGTTGAGAAACATTGTTTTAAAGGATGCTCAATCTTTGCTTTTCTTTTCCTACACATTTCCACCTTTTCCATCAGTTTCTCAATGGTCCTCCATTCACTGTGCCTTTCTAAACCCGCTGTCTCTGAATACCATAGAGCTCCGAAATATAAGATGTTTTCTTAAAAGTCAAAACTTTTAAGCAGAAACTGATGACTATATTAGATTTATTTCCTAATTTATATTCTGTTGTTCCTATGAAAAAAAAGTAAGCTGCGTGAAAAAAGGTTGAAGGAACTGGCATGCTTCACCTGAAGAAGAAGAGCAAGAGTTGGGAAGGTCATGTTAGTCAGCCACACTTACATAAAATAGCAAAGATGTATTCTTTGCCGTCCTGCAGGACAAAAATAAATAAATGTATTGTGAAAGGCTTTCATGGCCGGAATCACTAAATTGTTTTTAGGGTTTTTGGGCTGTATGGCCATGTTCTAGAAGAATTCTTCTGATATTTCATCTGCATCTATGGCAGGCATCCTCAGAGATGAGGATGCAGAGATGCAGGCGAAACGTCAGGAGAGAATGCTTCTAGAACGTGGCCATACAGCCGGAAAAACCTACAACAACCTAAAAATAAATCAACCTAGTGAGAAGACAGATTTCAGCTGAATATAGATCTAAGTAAGAGCTAAACATTAGAAATGCATCTACACTGTATAATTGATGTAGCTTCACACCACTTTCACTTCCATGGCTCAATGCTATGGACTCCTGTAGTTTGGTGAGGCACCAGCGCTCTTTGGTAAGACTAAGATCATGCATTGAGCTAGCTTTAAAGTGTCAAGCTGCATTTATTTCCACATCCTTGGAAGATGTATTGTCAAAGGCTTTCATGGCCGGAATCACTGGGTTGTTGTAGGTTTTCTGGGCTATATGGCCATGTTCTAGAGGCATTTTCTCCTGACTTTTCACCTGCATCTATGGCAAGCATCCTCAGAGGTAGCGAGGTAGTGACCTCACTACCTCTGAGGATGCTTGCCATAGATGCAGGCAAAACATCAGGAGAAAATGCCTCTAGAACATGGCCATATAGCCTGTTTCCTAGTAAGTGGTATTCAGAGACATCCGTTAACCATGGAGGAAATGTTTTATATCCATAAACTCTGGATGACAAGACTCTGAATTATAAAACCTCCCTCGTTAAGTGGCCATCCTGCACATGTTTCATTATTCCATCATATCAGCTTTGCAAAGGAAGCTATACCTTTGTTTGTTCTGAATCTTCCATCGTTCAGTAGATGACACACAGAATAGCATATCCACACCATGCATAAGTTCATACATCTCTATTTTGGATCCTCTTATTTCTTTTTTTCTCTTCAAGCTAAGGAGGGTTGTTTTGTCAAATCAACTTGAAACTACATGTTTGTTCAAATTGGTTGTCACCATTACATCTTGTGGCATCAAATTCCATAGTAACTGTGAGCTGGTGGCTCTTTCCTGGTCTTTGTCTGACAGTTTGACCATTAGGACAGTTGGCTCACATTCAAAAATTCTGCTTGTCATCTGAAACATGAAATAGTATGCCATTCCTTCAGTTCTCAGAATAAGAAGGCAAAGACAATTCTATGTTCTTGACAGATTTCAGCAAACTTACAATTTAATGCTCATTGCTTTCTGAAAGCAAAGTGCTTTTTGTACAGCCACTATGACAAGTGAGTAATTACAATTATTGCTAATAGAACAGAGGGACCATAACCTATTAAGTGTGTGGTGAAACAATATGTAACTATGGGGTGCCTTTCAAAAATGCCAAGGCTGATTTTAAAGCATTGAAGTACTGAGGTAAATAGCAAATATTTGTACATTTCTCGAGTATGAGTTGGAAAGACAGATGTGAAGGAAAAGCAACATAATTTTCTAGCACTTTAAAAAGAACTAACAAAATGTTGGCCAATAATAAATTGATGAATCTTAAAATATCCACAGAGCCTTATCCTTTGCTGTCTTGAACTCTCAACTTTCATAACCTATGTTTGAAAGTGCAAGTTGCTTTCATATTAGGTCAATTGTTCACCTTGTCAAGTCTTGCATTTTCTAGAACAAGGGAAAGCAATTGTGATAGACATGTCGATCAATTTTTTTTACACCTGCATCCCTCCAGAAAAAAATCCACATCAATCCACAGATTGAAGGAAATGACACATGCATGCACATAAGTACACTGTGAAATGGCCAGAAGTATATTCTTAGTTTAGAAGGGTTTTAAATATGTTGCAGGGAGCCAATACGGAAACCCTCTTTTAGCATGCAAAAAAAAAAAAATCAGCAGGGTCAAGGTCTACATAGAAACAAGGTTGGGACCACAGCTTACCCATCTCCTAGAGGTAAGAAACTCCATAGGGTCCAGTTGAAGGGTTCTCTCCATCACTAGCTATGTGGTCCTTAACTGGAGATGGTTGGGGTTGTGTTTAGCCATGGGAAAACTGTTGCATCCATACAGCTAAGTTCTATAGAATGTAAGACCCAGCAGATGTCTACATTACAAAGTAGTAGAAATTGCTGCACAACTAAAATTTGTTAAGAAATACATCCGTTGGGGAGAAACCTTTACAGAAGAAAGTATGTAGAAGATGGTCGCTTTCTCGAAATCGGACTGGTATGTTTTTATGTGTGGATTTCAATGGATACGCCTAACTTCTGTGACAAGTGGGTGAATCTAGACCAAGCTAGCTGCCTTATCTCCAGAGTAGGCAGTTACAGTCTTGAATAAAAGTTATTTCAAGTCTATAAAAAAGTTTGAAATAGACGTATAATAGAAACTCACATCACTGGGAGGCTTTGATGGTACAAAAAGCAATTTAGTCCAGAGAGGGTTTATGGAGTAGTTTGGCAAGCTTCCATTGGGAGCTCCTATGAAATTTTTGATTGAGATATGAAGATTACTGTGATACTATAAAATACTTGCTACTATGTCATGCAGGTAAGTAACATCACAGCAACAATCATTCCTCTCTTTTCATTTGGTTAAAAAGTTCTGAAAACATACATGTTAGAAGCGACAACCAGATCTATTCCTTTGCTCCTATTACTTATCAAATACTATGATACAATGTAAATATTTTAAATCTTAGCTTGGTTCTGTATAGTATTCTTTTTTAAAAAATATAACAATAAGCCATCTGTACACACAAGTGATGCTAGACACTGAATATTGATATTTGAGGATGAGCTTATGTGTCCAATTTTCATCCTTTGGTTTTGGATGAATTAGTGCAAAACACAGGAAATAGAAA